TTTTATTTTTATAAAAAATATTTTTTAATCATTTATTTGTTTACGAAAAATATCTTTATTATTTTGTAAAATGTTATTTTTTTTAATAAGTATTTATTTTTTTTTTTGTAAAAAGTATTATTATTATTAAATACTATTAAAAATATACATAATTTTTGTAAAAATATATTTTTTAATAAATTAAACACCACAAAAAAATGCTAAAAAAACTATGAATTAAAAAAGTTTTATTATTATAAAAAAGTAAAATATTTTTAATAATAATATATTTTTAATATATTAATATATTTAAAATAATCTTTTAATTTTTTTAATTATTTTTTAATACAAAAAAAATGCTAAAAAAACTATGAATTAAAAAAGTTGTATTATTATAAAAAAAGTAAAATATTTTTAATAATAATATATTTTTAATATATTAGTATATTTAAAATAATCTTTTTTTAATTATTATCAATTTATTTTCTTTTCTGCTAGTCTTTATTTTGAAGCCCAAAACGCTTTACATGTTACTCTCAACAACAAATGTCACTTGACGTGTTTCAAAGAGAATCCCAAACCGGATGAGGAGATGATAGAGATAGAGTGCACACCATGAGAGCAAACTACTGAGACTCACACAAATGCCGGTACAGTCTGACTCTCCATTGAAAATAACACCCAGCCATATGACAGAAAACATAATGACAGATGTGTGTGACTGATTGTTTGCTTGGCTGCAAATACCAGTTTCAAATAAAGAAAACTATAGTTGAAACCTCGACAGAAAGCTAAGCTAAGCTATGTCGTCAATGGGTTTAGTCATTGATAAATTTGTTTTTATAAAAACAAAATAGAAAAAAACAACAACAATAAAAACTATCTGACATCATCGATGCACTGTGGGTGAGTATGTACGCTTTCACAAAATTACCAAAAACAAAATGGATTAATTATTTCACATGATGTTGTTTGCCGAAAAGCAGTTACAACAACAAACCAATAACAATAATGGGTAAATGAGTACACCCGAAAAAAGTTTTTCTAAGATTTTTCTACATCGTTTAAAGTTTGTTTAATCCTATTTACAGCTCTAGACTTTTCATGCATTTGCATTGGTTTCTTCTGGGGCAGTGGATATTTTTAGAATTTTCTTTTTTTTAGTTTTTTTTCCTGAGTGTATAAACAATTATGAATTTGGTGTTAACTGAACTCAAGCACTAATGAATGCAATAAACTGAACTGAATAACAGTTTAACACTTGTTGAAGTCAGTCAATATTTGCATGTGAATTAGTAGCGTAATTTCTGGATTCATGTGAAACTGTAAACAACATGATCAGTATTTTTTTGGCAAAATGTTTTGGGAAAAATACGAAAATTGAAAATCCAAATTATATAAAACAGAGTTGGATAGAGGCAGCCTTTCTTCTAAGTCCGATAGTTTTTAAAATAAAAATGACTCATTTGTACTACTTTGTATTTTTAAAACGAAAATGTTTATCATCTAAAAAATAATTCAAATAAATAGATTATCACCTAAAAGTTTCAAACATTTTTGCGTCAGCAAAAAAAAAAATATCACCTGTTTTTTAATCAACTCAAGTTACTGGATAATTCTTTTTGAGTAGCTCAACTGTCAAAATTCGTGGTCTCTCATTTATTCTCTTCATGAGCCAAAAAAAAAACACCTTTTTTTAATCAACTCAAGTTACTGGATAATTCTTTCTGAGTAGCTCAACTGTCAAAATTTGCTGGCTCTCAATTTTCTGCAATTGTTTTTGTAAAATAATTTTTGAGTTTATTTTGATGATATTTTTGCTTAAAAATTATTAAATTCATATTATTTTGCCCATCTATGTTCAAGATCAAACAAAGGCAACAACTTTCAATTAATTTTTCATAAAAATATATATACATTTTTTAAATATCGTGGTAACTCGACCCATTGTGCAGAATGATTACACTCATACATCAAACCTTTTTTAAAAACTACGCATTAACTTATTCCCTTCCATTCGCTTGATGACGATGACCCATTACCCCTAATTTAAAGTAAAAAAAAAAATGAATGAAAGAAAAAAGAAATGATTCGTCATCCAATAAAGTCCTTACTTTGTAGTTGTCCTTAAGCAAATATTTGTTGTGTTCCGTTCTAATAACTATGAACTCTGTAACCAGGGGTGCTCAAGAAGAAATATCTCTTTTCAGTCAAATTTCTCTTTGCTTATTTAAATCAAGAACAAAACAGTGTTAAGTCCTTATTTATACAAATATTTTTTATCCATTTGCTTTATAAATTATTTTGGCAAACGTTCGTGTTTAAAAACAATTAAATAGAACCGTAAACTATAAAGAAAAACAGAATTTTAATTTTCTCTTAAATTATATCTTTTTTCTCTTCATGTTCTAGAACACCGTTTTGAGCACCCTTGCTGTAACGTACCACCTTGAGTGCACATTCATGACTCTCTTTGTATGGCGTTCTCTTAAGTCACGAATTACGGTTTCTCTCATTGCCT